GGGCAGGGCGGGAGGGGAGAGGCCTGGCCGCTGTGAGGGGGTCCCTCCTCACAGAACTCCCAGGACCGGTGCTGTAAGAGAGGAGTACACTCACTGAAGGGAAATGTTCTTGTACTGCCGGGCTGGGGCTCAATAGTTCTACACAGGGTTTGTATTTACAGCGTCGGTGGGTTGTCTCTCAGGAAAAAAAGTTGAATGTAGTTAATTTTCAATGCACGGTAAGTAGTTTTTAAATTTGCAGTACGAAAGGTTGGTTTCTCTCCGTCTCTCCCTCAAAACCCTACCTGCTAGTGCGGAATAGGTAATGACCGTATCTCAGTACCTGTATGAGGGGAAAGATGGCAAGCCTCGAGTAAAGGCAATGCCACCTTCATTTCATGTAGCAGCCATCACAAACCGAACTGGGAGATTTAAAGAAGCAGCTAGTATCGAAAATGTCCTGGTTTGAGGTCACCAAGAACATATAAGCCCTTTGGCTTTTGGGAGACAAAAGCATTGCTGAAGTTGTTTCACTTTTATTTTTTAACACACGCTTTACCTCTTTTCTTACCTTAAATTCTGTGAGTTGAGCGACAAAATAGGGGTAAGTGATCTTCTGTAGCATACTTGATACTGGCAAAAGAAACTACTACAGTATAGGTGGAACATAATGCACATGACATCGGAGATACGAAAGCAGAGGAAAAACTTAAAAAAGAGGGAGAAGGGGAAAAAAGTCTGATACCCACCAGTTCTCCAATTGTACTGTCTTGTTGTGTAGCTGACTGTTATAATGGTCCGATGAAACGATTTGAGGTGATGTATTCTGTTTTAGGATTCTCAACTAAATTTTTCATCAAGATCTTTTTTTTTTTTTAGTAGCTGAATGAAATTTCTTCCATCTTCAGATGTTGTTACAGCTTACTTGAAGCCTAGATGGATGAAACAGAACTGAAAAGGGAGGCACTGTCCTCTAATCGCACAATATTTTTCTCCGTTTTCCTTTGAAATACTCTATATGCAGACTTTTCTACAGACTACTAATCACTCTAGAATTTAAGGATTTTTTTCCCCCTTTCCTCTTGAGCAGTGTTGTCTTCATGGCTTTCAGTTCCCATTCTCTTTATTTTTGAGTTCTTATGAGTTATCGCAAGGATAAGCCTTAATTGCTTGTTTTACAGCTAGCAATATTTTCTAGAGTAGCTTTCATTCATGCAATTCTAGAACTCACAAATGAGCATAAGGAAGAGGATCAGCTGCCCCAAATCCATAAACTTAATTTTCCTGTGTGTGCTTGACTGCTAGCCAAGGCCTTGGCTTCTGCTTAATCAGAAATTAAGTGTTTTATACCCATTTCACACTCTTGCAGTCCTGTGTACTGAGTTGAGGGAATTATCTCACCAAACATGGTGATGTTAAGTAGAAGTAATTGAGTAAGGGTGGGTTTTTTTTTAATGTTCTCTTTGATGTAAGCCTTCTGCTCGTTTTTCAGATACGCTCCTCTCCCTGTGAAGTTCGTGCTCTGAGGGACCTCCACTTACATACAGTTCTGTATTTATGAGAAAAGACAATAGTAGCTATTGTTGTGTTTTGAATAAATAGGGTTGCTAGGGAATAATTTAACAAAAGGACAACTCAGGATCTCTTAGTTCAGAGTACTATTGTCTTTCTGGAGCCCTTTCTCCAGAATGCTTTATTTGGTGTAGTTCCGCATTGTGTGCTGTGTGCCTCTCCAAAGCCATCACTGTGAATGTCAGGCAGTTGGGAATGTATTAAGCTGATCATTTAAAGTCCAGTGGTGTTTTGGATTTTGTAAGATATTTTAAATAATCACTTAAATTAGCTGAAGCACTTCCTTGGCGTTTCAGTTAACCCGACGAAGCTCAATTTGGCACAGAGGGGTGTGAGGGCATGTCTTTAGTTTCTTCTTTCTGCTGTGAGCTTCTTGTTCTCAGAACAGTTTTGTTTCTTAGTAGGATATAGCTCTGACCCTTTAGTTATGATGGTTCAAAGCCAGTTTGGGCACTCAGAATCACATACTCGATTTGTCCATTTGCTTTGACAATGTAGAGTTCTGGGCACTATTTACAACTTTGTCAGTGTGTGAGAGGTGTGCTGGTTACACCAAGATTTTACATTTTTACACCAAGATTTTACATTTCTCCCTCCTTACCCTGAGACCATGGCCTTAAAGGTGATCCTCATCCATTCCAAGAACAAGCCAAAATTGCTAACTAGTAATGTGCCATATATGAACCATTCAAAACCAGCAATTTATCTTTGGTAAATAGTACCCTATAGGTTTCAAAAATACAAATTCTAACATATGCTGGCATTGTCTTCACTCAAATAGCATAACCTCTTTATGACAAGCTAACTGCAAGCCTCTAATACATAGTTTTGGTTGTAAAAATAATAATTAACAAAACACTTGTCTTCTAATGTTTATTTGTCTTCCAAAAGTGCTGGTACCAGTGCTGCTAGGAGATGTCTTGCTGCTTGCAGTTACCTGTGATGTATTTTTCTGCATGGCTGTACATCGCTGGAAGGGTATCTCAAGTCTTAACCTGTAGTCCTTAGTACGAGGACCCCAAGAAGGAAAGTACTGTGCCCCTTGTATTTTGATAGGCTAATGATTGTATCTGAGATGTTCCATCGTTTTGGTTTTCAAGTGTAGCAATGATAGGTGAGAGTTTGGGGAAATTTCTTTGAATTTGATCTTTTCCTTGAAATTTGCAAAGCTTAAATGGGGGGGGGATATGTCTTTTTTTCCTGTCTTTGAGCTGAAAAGCACAGAAATTTCCCTGTTGCATCTTACACTGTCTGGGCAGGCTTTCAGCCATAAGCAGGCAAGAGAAAATGATGCATCACTTTTTTTTTTTTCTCCTTCTTTCCCCCAAATAAACTCCCCAGTGCAGGGAAAGAAGCAACCTTTTGTGCCACTTTTATACGTTTATATCTAAGGGAAAAATTCTTGAACCCACCTCCTCTCAGTTTTTAGAAGGATTTCATAGGACATAATCTTAAGAGAAACTTCACAGGGGACTATCAGAATGGCCTTAGATTTTTGCTGGCAAGTTTGTAACGAGAGGCACACTCATGGCAATAACTGTGTTAACTGCACAGGAAGCTACCAAAGAGAAATCTAGTAAGCACTTGTAGGCAGAAGTACAAAATAGCTTAGATTAGAGGCTCACAGTTAGCACAGTAGTCATAAGAAAGATTATGTTGTTTGGGTGAAAAGAATGCCAGTACATGATATACCTGAATCTTAGAAATATACAAAGTGTTATCTATAAAGGATAAATTGCTCTGTCTTTGAATAGCTCAGTGCTCTGAATAGCTCAGCCTTCTTATCTAAAACTGAAATTTGCAACCTCGCTTGGATGCCTTTCCCCTGAAAGGAAATGTTGCATATATAAGTTCCTGGAAAGCACATAACACTGATGGTTTTACTGTTGAAATATTAGTGAATGTGCAGTCACCTTAGCCAGATTCTGATCCTTGTTACTTTAAACTTGTGCACATTAAAAGAATACAATCTGTAATAACTCTATGTGTTGTTTGCTGATGACTGTTTTTTTTCCATAAACTATAGCTTCAGCAATGAAGTATCCTGCAAAAAGCGAGAGGATTATTTGGAATGGCCTGAATATTTTATGGCAGTAGCTTTTTTGTCAGCACAAAGAAGCAAGGATCCAAGTTCTCAGGTAAGAAGGCAACGTATCAGAATAACATAACCTAATCTATATTGCACATCGCCTCAGATGCACATGTAGCACTTTCAGGGATGTCTTATTAAAAGTTACTTCAGTATATAGCTCTTCATTTTTTAACGTGGTCAGCACCTTTTGTTACAGAAATTCTCTTATTGGGCCTGACCTCATACGTATAATTCTGTGTGTACATTTGTAGCTTGGAGTTTTGTAAATCATCTTTTTATCTGGAGGTTAAAATAACACATGCACTTTCTGTCCTTTTTCCAATAAATATAGTTATTGTTAGAGGAGGATAAAACTACTGGAAGTTTTAGATAGTAATTTTTTAAGACACAGCATTTTACAAGTTCCTTTTCCTCACCTGTAAGAGTATAAAAATTCGCTTTTGTTTGTTCTTGGGTTGACTGGAGTTTTCTTCTTGCTTGGTTCTTTCCTCAGGTTCCCCTTGCCCCTCTGCTTCGCTGTCTGTCCCCACTCTTTGCTTCTTTCATGTGCCTCTGTTCAATATTGGTTTGAGGCGATTGATACATCTCCTGGAATGCGCTGTTCTGCAGGGCCCAGTCGTCCTGTTAGCCTTCCTCTGCGTGGGAAAGTTCAGAAAGCAAATCCTAGAAAAGCCATGGAGTAAAATGCATGTTAACAGTCTGTTCAATTACTCGCTGGCTTCTGTACATTATGGCTCATAGTTCTCTGAAGGTTATTCGCTTAGGGCCAAATTTTTGTTACCCAAGAGCTGGTTGATAAACACATTGCAGGAATTAAAACCAGTACTATTGCCATTTCAATAAATCTAAAATATTGGCAGAAAACATAAAAATGGGACACTTCATCGTTCTATAAGAAGGGTCCCTGCGCAGACTTGGATTGAAGTGACAAAGGGTGGGAGTTTAAAGGTCTGGTATTTTGGTCCATGTCTGCGTAAACAAGTCACAAAGGTTTGTGATCCCATCTCTGCCTAGGTCAACACTGCTGCATTTCTGTTCTATCTTCTGTATCCTTTCTCTTGCTGCTGCTGCTGGAAGAGCTAGTTTGGGGACTTGAACTGGCAGAAAACTTGTGTTTAGTAGGGTTAATTCAGTGCCGGTTCTGCTCCCTGAGCTAGGTTCACTCCATAGTTGGACAAGGAACAGTGCTGGCAGGCTGGAATTGGGGAATGCATCACCAGAGGGGTAGCAGGGTTGCGTCTGCCCTGATTTATTTTAAAGCTCCACCAGTTAGGTACAGTTGTAGCCTTGCTGACTAGATGGTGTGACTTAATATAAAGTGAAGCTTGTACCTCTTAAATGAAAATTGTAGGACTGACTTTTCAGGTTTCATCTTTCTTGTTGATGCATCGTTTTGCCTGCTGTTGGTACTGTATAAATCTGATTTTATTTAGGTTGGTGCCTGCATTGTAAATTCAGAAAATAAGATTGTTGGAATTGGATACAATGGGATGCCTAATGGCTGCAGCGATGATGTACTACCCTGGACAAGAACAGCAGAACACAGACTAGACACGAAATATCCTTACGGTAAGGCTTCTTGTGGTTGACTGGTCAAACTTGTGATGTCTGTATATGTGAAAGTTCAGCTAGTAAAATATCGATCTGTTTTTCTTCCACTCACCTGATTTTGTTAATGTGCCCACATGTAGTACATCAGGATAAAAATCACAGCTCTGAAAAGAAATGAAAACCGTCTTTATGAAGGACTGACTTCCTGGTGAATTCAGGATTAGCCATTTTGGATTGTCTAGTGAAAACTTGTAAATATAATGCAGCTCATTAGCACACAGTTGCAGCGTATGCAGATGATTGCTGCTTCTGTGTATTTGTCTCCACAGAAATTACTGATAGCATGTATATGCAAAACAAATACTTGGACCTAAACCGCAGGTATTAAAATTGTTAAGTCCAGTGGTTGTGGGAAATTGCAGTGTTGAGGTGTTGATGGCGTAGGCAATACATATTATGAAGGAGCTGAATTTTGTTTGTCTTGAAGTATGTGATTGCATTTTGTCATTCCGTGCCATTTTTGCCTCATCTGGTGTGCAGCGGATCTACCCTGTTATGGGTAAGGTGACTTTCATTGTTTATTCAGCCTCTGATTTGATTCCCATTTACTAAATGGGCAAAGGGAATGAAGAGCAAGGACGGTTTCATGGTAAATGTCGCTGAGCGCTGCTTTGGATCCTGTCTTTGTCTTTGCAGCAGGTGTAGTTTGGCCTTCTGCGGGCCTGCTTTGAAGGATCCTTTGTGAATCCTGGTGCACCAATCAACAGGGAGCTGTAGAGTTACTCCTCTGGGCCAGGCGTGGTTTGCAGGAACCAAGGAGACAACTTCCTGGGCTGCCTCAGGCTTCATGCCGTGAGTGCCGACTGCTGGGCGTGGAAATAGAGTTGAGAGCTGCCTTGTGGCCTACAATAGCTGATGCTGGGGAGGAACCGTGGTTAGGACTCAAAAGGAAGTGGGGAGTATACGTTCTCTTAAATCTCCCTTCATCTTTCTGCTTCCGTATCAGCTCCTGCTGCACCTCTGTAGGGTGACACCAATGCAGCAGGAGCCGTGGCCACGGGAAAAATGGGTATTAGCAACTCCTTCATCCTGTGCTGCATCTCAGCCTGTCCTGGGCTCAGCAATGGCAGGGGGAAGAATCACAAAACTGAACAAGAGCCCTGAGGCATTTTCCCTTCCCCCTGCCCGGGTGAGTGGAAATGAGCATGAGAGGTCAGCTTTTGCAAAGAGATACTGACTTTTTTCCAGTGTACAGTATTTATCTCTGCCTACTAATTCTATTTTTTTACTTGTAACTTCTAACAATTGGTCTGATACGGAAATTAGACTTGCATGAGTTTTGTCGTTCCCTGTGTTCACCCAGAGCGCTCTCTAAGAGCTGGCATTACATTTTCTGCTTTCCCATAGCATTGAAGTGAAAGATGATATTCAGTAGCTCAGCACATAATTCATCAGTTTCATACTTGAGTTCTTAAAACCCTGGTACTTTGTCCTTGTTCACTTTACCAATTTATTATAAAACCTCTAACATTAACTCTTAAGCTTGAGACAGTTTCTTATTACTTTTCATAAGAGATGTATTCCTGTTACTCGGGCCAGCTCCTGCCAGATTTTAAGTCTGCTCTAAAGCACTGAAGCGCTGGTTTTACATATAATGACGGTACCATAGTGGTACAACTTAGTATGACTACTCTTTATTTATAGGGTGAGGAAACAAGTGTTAGCCCATTGATTATATATAAACTACTGAAAACAGAATATTGATTTTGGTTGAATCTTTATGCTGCTGTAAGGTCTCAGTTCTGAGCTAAGATCAGTGTGGGTGGTCTCTGGGACCCGAGCATGTTCCAGGCACTCAAATCTAAGCTGACCAATTTAAACAGAAAATGCTGTATGAATCTGTAAGGAAACTTTGTAGAAGATGATGTGAGAATTTTTTTTTTAAAGTTAACTCTGACTCCAAAAGATGTGGAGTAAAGTAAAAATCTCTAATACCTGATGTTTAAAAAATGTACTAATCAATCTAACAGCTTGGAGAGATGAGTTCATTTCTAGGAGTTGGTCTAACTCCTAACTAACCCTTCCCCCAAGAATCTTAGCCTTCACCTCATTAAAAAAATCACAACTTTGTAACATAAAGTGTCTGCTGTGATGAATAAACGACCTATTTTGTAATTCACAGATCATTTAAACTCTAGCAGTTTCTTATTAATCTTGATAGCACAGTTGACAGACCAGACAAGTATATATATAAAAAAAAATCTGCTTTAAAAAATTCTGGTAGATGCAGAGACACATAGAATTGCTGCTAAAATCTCATTAAACTGTCATGTTTTCCTTTCCGCTTTTGCTAATCATCACAGCACTTGCGTAAATTGAACTTTTTAGCCTTGCTTTTTTCTGACTAGCGTGTTCAGAGATGGTACAATCTTACTGTGTGCTTCATTAGCTTATCATGGGAATGCTGGCACCTTCATCACTAGAGCTGCAATCTGGCTTATTAGGTAAAGCTGATGGTAACCTGGAAGATAGATGTCTTCCAGAGCTACTTCATGCATCTGCAGTGCTACAGAAAAGGGCTGGGGGTGCATCTGCACGCTGACCTCCTGGTTTTATGTACTGTTGTAGGTTAGGCATAAACATTAGCTCACTTCCCATCTGTTTTGGACCTCTCTGACTAGCTTTCTCCAGAACAAAGCCTGAGTATTGCTCTGTGAATGGCTCACTCAAAGGCTAGTCCGCAGGGCAGGGTGGAAAAAAGGCTGCAAGAAAACTGTCATCCTGTATAGGCCTATAATGCAAAGCCTGCTGAGATGGTATGCTTAACCCTCCTCCCTCCCTCAGGCCATACTGGGGGATATGCAACACATACTCTGATTCATGCTGTGAAAATACCACTCTGGTGGGCTGCAAAAAAGTCATCTCACTTCTTTATGCACTTTGAACTGAGACATACAAAATAAGAGTGTGGTGCCATGGGAGTCCTGGAGCCTTGAGGAAACCCAGGGCCAAGTGCTATGTAATTCTGATGGAGCCCTGAGTAAGATGAACACGAGCCAGTCTATGCCAGTTGGCCTCAGGGCCTGGGGTCAGTCCCTGGCCCTGTCTGTGTTTAGCAGCACAGACATAGCAGGGGATTGGACCCAGAGGTTATCTCTGCAGAAGTGTGTTAGATGATCCTATAATAAATTTATTGAGCTCCAGCAGAACAGATGGATGCATTGACCCCACAGCTCTGATCGGATTCTCTGTTTCATGGCTAGAAAACTTCCAATTTCCACCCTAAATTTATTTGTGGTTAGTTTGTACATTCTTGTGTGTGCCAGCATTGTTCTTTTAGCTTTTCTTATTCACTGCAATTAACCCTATCTCCTTTCCCCCCATGCCCTGTGCACTTACCGATGACAATCACCTTTTGAACTTTTGTTGTAAGGCTAAACAAGTCCTGTCACTCTTAAATTTTATTGTCTCTTGAAACTTGACTTGAAATTCACCAGTGTCTTGGTTATCTATGTCTGCTGCAATACACCGTACATATCTAACCTGCACCCTCAAGTGTGAGTTCTGCTCAGCTCAGTGTTAGGGAAAGGGTTGTGCTTGATTAAAAAAAATTGTATTTACTTGCATCTAAGGGGTAAAACTATTACCTGAGGTGCTCCTGAAAGAATGCATCAAAATGTGGCACGTAGTGCTTACTTTACCGTTTGCAAGGCATTTGGCTATTTCAGGAACAGTGATGTGGATCACCTGTATTGATACTATGCATTCTTTACGAGAGTCTTGCAGCAGATTAAAACTTTTTTCCTTCTAGTTGTAGTGTATATTTGAACAGGTTGGTAGCATAGCCTTGTTAATGTCAGAAAGCACTGGGTGTTTTGCAGAATGCCATTTTTCACAGCACAAAATTGGGCTTTTTTTGCTATGTTGGAACTGGCTCTTTCCATGCTGCCAGTCAGTGACAGGAGCGGCGATGTTTCTGCGCACATGGCAGAAATGGAAGGCCAGTTTTGAATTCCTGCTTTACTAAGATGTTATTAAAAGCTCTTCCTGAAGCATTGTGTTCAGTACTGTGTGCAGAAGCTTTGTAATAATTAGACAAAATTCTGGCTTTCAGAGTCATAAGTGAGTGCCCTCTGTTTCTGTTAGATGAATTCAAGGATTTGACAATGCTCAGTTTCCTCTCACCATCATTTAAAATACTACATTTTTCTCCTATTAACACAAGTCTTCCCACTCATGCTAGTTGCTGTGCTCCTGTTATGCCCTCTGTCTCCACTGTAATCTAAGAACATCCATTTGACAACCAGTCTCTAATTAAGAGAGTTTTAAATTAAAATGACTGGCAAATTTAGAAACCTCTGAGCAATAGAGAAAATATTGAGTAAATATGCTTACAAATATTTATACAGGTTCAGATACGATAAAATATGTGCTGTGGCAAAAAGTACGCTCTAATTGAACAGTACCTGCTGTGTAAAATGAAACAAACTGTTATCAACATTTCCTCCTGTTAGGATTACGAGCTCTTCGTCAATTTTTACAGAGATGAACACTCGAAGATATTCAGGCAAATGTTACTTTTGTAGAAGCTGTTATTTTGACAGCACAAAACTTGATAAGGCACTATGAAGAAGTGTGATGCTCTCTCTCCAATTGGCAGTGTAAAGCTGAGGCTTCAGCTGGAAAGGGGATTTATAGGAGACAGTTTCCACCTACAGCCACTCACTCTCTTGTCCTGCATGGATTTCTGTCCAATTCTGGTGTCATACATGAAATCTCTAGAAAGTCTGGAGATTTGGAAACACCAAGAATAATTTCTCTCATTGTACTTCCCCACTAAGAAATGCCTCTGTGTTCTGCTGAGAGTAGAACAAGCTTGGAGCAGGATGGGAGGAAGTGGGAAATGGGGTGGATTACCTAATGCTTCTCAGGTTTTGAGAGGGGCTTCTCTGGGGTGCCCCCAGCAGATTTTGTAATGTTCCTAAATGGGCTGAGTGCTTCACATCTTCACTTCCCAGTTCTATATTTTCATGGAAAAAAGCAGGAAGGCTGGGTCTGTTGCCTCTTTCTGACTGCAGTCTGAAGAGGCTAGGACTCACAATGAAATCTGGTGGTATTATCCTTGCCTCCCTGCCTTAACTACAGCAACTGCTCTTCCTCCAGCACACAGAGCGAGAAGGAGAGCAGAAGGAATGGCTGAGAGCAGTGGCAGCCCAACATCAATGTCCTGCCTTCCTCTAACGCAGTGTCCAGCAACCATCCCTATGCTTTCACAAAGGCTGAAAAAAGATTGATATCATTCTACAAATTCCAGATCCATCAACCACTTGCCCCAGTGGCTGTCACTCCAGGCCCTGTTCCTTTCAATAATATTTCGGTCCCTTCCATGATCCTTGCTATTTCCAGCGTCAGGGGTCCAGTGAGTAAAGGATAACTGGTAGGTGGGGTTTGGACAAAGATGGATGGACAAGGTTAAGAACACAAAAAGGTGAAGAAGACTGAGAAGTGGGCCAAATATAGAACTTCCTGTATCATTGGTGTGCCAGGTTTATGTTGAAGAACACCGTGCTATTACCATTTATCTGTATTGGGAACCCATAATATTCGTCAAGTTGGTTAACCATGGCAGTATAAAAACATAGGTTAATAAATAAGTCAAAACTTGCTGCGTGACAATCTATGTGCATCGAAATGTATCCTTTTCAAATGTAACACCATATTTAGTGCATAATTTCTCAAAATTCCTAGCCTGGCTCAGTTAGTAATTAATCACATATAACGGTCGCTCCCCCAGCCCCTCCTTTGATTGCTTCTTAAAACGTGACATGTTATGGTGGTCCCTACTCCAAGCTCTTCATCAAGCATGTAAGCCTTTAAACAGTATTAAGAAACACTTAGACTAGTCCTGTGGGTCTTGTAAAACCACTAGTCAGAACACTTTTGGTAGGTGGGAAGAGTACTTCTGATTCTGCAACCTGCTAAGAGGATGTTCGTGTTAAGTGGTTAGTCCTGAAAAATGACCATTAATAAGGTAAGTAGGGGACTCTTATTTGCAGGTAGGCTTAAGGATGAGTGCTAGCTCATATATGCAACACAAAGCAGTATGCAATGAGAAAAGATAGAAACACTAGCAATTAATACTACCAGTAATAAAGCAGTCATTCCTCTGCGCTTTTTTTTTTTTTTTTCTTTTTCCTTTTTCTCCTCTCGTGTGTATAGTAGCAGGTGGTGGGAATGTCAGAGCACACACTAACTTCTCATTGCATGGTTATTTCTTCAGCTAATGAAGCCTTTTGAGAATACTTTTCAAGCTACTTTTCTAGAATGGAAACTAGTGTTGCAGACTTAATATTATGTTGGCTATATGTGAATGTTATATTTTTAAAAAAACAAAACACTGGGGCCCCCCATAGGGTATTTTAAAAATTATTAGTTTTACTAGTCTATTTAAATACACAGTTTTCAGAGTTCTGAATATTGTGCATCTGTGAAAGGATATTTTAAGTTAGTTTCTTATTGTCTGAGAGACAACAATATGTAACTATTAGCAGGAGCTCTTAACAGGTTAGAAAACTTCATAACACACCAAATGTGAACTATTTAGTTATTAAGAAGAGGGATTTTGGACTCCCGGGTTTGTTTTCTGTCACTAATGCTGTGTACAAAGCTGGGCAGGTCTGTAAGAGAAAACTGGGGATAACAGGCTATTTTGTCTATAAATTAGTTAACTGTCAATGTCCGTCTGCAAGAGAGACAGAAGGAGGGGGATGAAGAGTGATAGGACAAAGCATAAAAATATTTGTCTGATGCCCGTACCTTCTTTAGGACCATCTAGCATAGCATCCCTTACAGGGGCCAGTAGCAGATGTCTAGGGAAATGTATAAAACAAAGACACATGTGATGATAGTTGCCCAGAATATTCTTCCAAGTTCCAACGACTGAGCCAAAATGGTTTTGTGTTTAATAGACCAGTAGACTAAAAAAAAAATAATCAAATATTGGAAGGAAAAAGATGACTTCTGGAGTCAATGCAAACTTCTAGTCCTGTACTACTTCTGCAGTAAGTGCAGTAAGAAATATTGGTTAGGCTACACTGTGCATGAAAAACCTGCCTCCTTTTGTTTTTGAAAAGAAAGCCTGCTGGGTTTGTTGGACACCCCACTGATTTTTGTCTTGGAATGATTAGTCTCAGTCTCTTATTACTGTCTCTGGATCTCCTTTCCTCACTGGAGAGTCCTAATTGTTCTTAACTTCAGATTGCGTTAAGATGATCAGGAGGCAAAATTTCTCTTTTCCCTCGTTCCAGCTGATTATCTTTTATAAGTTATTTTTGGCCTGGAATTGTTTTTGCTTGGGAAGAGGTCTGTTGTTGAAAGTTTCTAGAAGTCTGATGAAAAAGCCTTTCTTCTCATCAGCGCAGGAAGGAAACTTGTTGCAGTACTAATAATGAAACTTGTCTGGTTTTATGGCTGAAGATTTCTGAGTTTTAGTGAAGGAAAAATATTTACTGAAGGAATTAGGTTTTTTTTATATTTTAATTCTGTGAGCTTTTGAAAACATTCCCTCACCCTTCCTTCTGGAGGCCTTCCATATTTTAGACTGCTGTCTAGAACATAAGTATATTGTTCAAAGACACTTGCAAATGATGTTTCTGTCCTGTTGACATAACCTAGTTCCAGTTGTGGAAATAATTACACTCTTGTTCACTCAATCCTCTGTAACCTCAGAAAAATAATTCTCTGACAGTTTATTGTGAAAGCTATGTAAGATTAGTGTAACTCAGTAATATACTTGGAGTTAAATGTATTTGCTTTATTTTCTTAATGTACGGGTTCATATAATTGTGTATCTTATACACTTCATGGCATATGTTTAAAATACAGTGTGACCCAATTACAGTTGCAATAGAAACAATAATAATAGTAATAGAAACCTTAATGTGATGGTGCTTGGGTTGGTGTGGGGTTTTTTTGTTAATTTCCTTTTTTTTATGTTAGTATCTGGCTTTACTGGTTATGAGAAGGTATGTGGACATCATGGTCATGGTGATGCTGGGCATTGCTTGCAGAAGTCAATACTGAGCTTTCTTTAGCAAGTGTTTGGTCCTTTGTGACTTGCCTGCATGGGAAAGCTTGTATGCTGTTAAGTTAGGCTGTAAATTTGTAGTGCATTAGCTGTTATGTAGGAAATTCCATGTAGACATTTAGCGCATACGGAAAACATTTCCATTCAGCAAGGATTCCCGCGTGTTGAAGGTCCTGCACTCAGTTTTTCTTTGCGTGGTGAGATCATTCACACAGAGGTCAGTATATAGTAGCAAGTATACTATGAATTTCTGCTATGAAACTTCTGCTTGGTTTAATTTTTGCATGTATGCAAGGGAGAGGAAAACTACTTTTTTTTTTTTTTAAAAAAAAAATCTGTTCTTCAAAACAAGCAGTGGAAAAACTCTTAACGTTGTCTGCACGTGCAGGGTCTCTAAATGAGCTCAAACCTGCACCACACTTCCGCACCTGTTTATGAAGTAAGTCAGGGCAGCAAGCAGTTTCTTCGTAGGTAGGTATATAAATTATGCAACTTGCTGTCATTCCTAGGAGTAAACAGGAAGTTCTTGCAGAGATCCTAATGTTTTTTTCAGAGGTTCACGGTGGCCGACAGAAACTGCACTCTTCTCACCCGTGTTGGTAATGCATTAGATAATCTGCTGATGTGTACAGCACAAAAACTTAAACCCTAAGGTGCGATCTGCCCAGAAGGAGCTATTGTGTTACGGTGGAATAAGGCAGGGTAGTCTGCCGCTACCTGGCCTAGCTCAAATCCATGGAGAAATAGAGGACTTTGTTTTCCTGCTTGGGAAGTCTGGCATCTTTTAATGAGCAGTAAACTCACTTTAATATTAAAGCTAGGACATTTTTATGGTTGAGTGTGTCTTGTGTATTCTTGGGGTGAGAGAATCACGCAGCAACGCTGAGCCGTTCCGAGACCCAGAGGACAGAGCTGCTCGGTTTTACTTTGCGATTCTCCTGCCTTTAAGAGCGCACAGTGCGCTCTTATAACCATAAGACTGTTCCTATCTGTGCATGTAAACACATAAATGAGCTGTTTTATACTGGCAATTAGATACTCCAGAGAGTTGTGAAGCTGTGAGATATTGCTTCACTTAGGGTGGCTGCAGCTACTTGGCCCACAGCCTACGGCTTTGTTGCCTGCAATAGGTGTTAGCAAATGGCAATGCTAATGCGCTTAATGATATCATTACTAATCGGCAGCCTGGTCAGAACAATTGACCTTCATTGATCTTGGTATTTCTACTTTTATTTCTTCCTCTGCCCTTTATGACAAGCTGTGCAAGCTATTCGCCTTTGAAAGGATGTAAGCAGTTATATTGTAACACTTTAATTTTAGTTTAAATGATTTATTTGAATCAACGGTATTATGAATTGTTTCTTTTTTTATTATTTTATTTTATTAAATCAGTGTGCCATGCCGAATTGAATGCCATCATGAACAAAAACTCAGCTGATGTGAAAGGCTGCAGCATGTATGTTGCCTTATTTCCATGTAATGAATGTGCAAAGCTCATCATCCAGGCAGGTAAGGAGTAGTGCCAGCTTGATTTGTCAGGGTCGCGGTGCTGCCTGCTCGTTGGTATCTTATCACGGATGTATTTGATGTTAAATTGCTGCTGTTAGATCTAAATTAATTGCACTGTCAACTTCATAAGATGCTACTTGTGGGGTTTTTTTGCATCTGAATGGTGCCAAATTTTTCCAGTGCTAATTGCATCTTCTGTGATTCTAAGCGTGCTTCTAATTTAGGTTTGTAACTTCTTAGACCAGGAGCTGCCAAAGAACAACACAGGCTTTGCATATAATTACTGTCAATTTTACTGTGCTCTGACACACTGAATAGAGTAGGGCAGAGAGAAATAAACTTCTGCATGACAAAAGGTCTGTTGGGAGTATATACATGAAATTTTAATTTGAATGTGATGCATGGTAGATATTTGAAGATTTTAAAATATCTTTGCCCATAAATGTCATAAGACTTCTATGATCCTACTTTAATTATGTCTTTCATTACAATTGTTATAAATCTGTGCCACTGCAGCAAGTGTGCTGGCCTAAATGTGTCGCCTTTTTTCAGATTAGGCAGTATCTGCAGTAGGCTTCAGTTCCGTAAAAATCTCTGCTTAAGGTAGCATATATTTTGCTCATTGAGTCAAGTCTGGGGAGTTTCTCTCACCACTAATGGGCACAGGAATCTAGGAAGAAAGTAGCAAACAGGACACTGCTTTATTTTGGGCAGTAAGGTTTGAAATGAAGACAAGTGAAGGGGGAAAGATGATGGTATTCTGTATTTGTGCTACATTACTTATTGAATCAAAATCAAACAGTCTTCAAGGTAGCTTGGCTGCTTGTCCTGAACGTAGTTTCTCATCCTTTTCCTTATGCACTTAGGTCAGCACTAAATTGCAAGGTATTGATATTCATGGCTGGTAAATACAGTAAGATGTTGATAGGCTCTGAAACGCCTGTGAATTCTCTTGGGTCAGCCTTTATGCTTCTCCTCTGCCTAAGTAATGTAGGAATAGATCATTCAACAATTTGAGACAGCAAGCATTTATGAGGATTTGAACCTGGGATTGGGAGTTATTTATAAAACAGAGAACAAAAGAAAAAAAACATCCTTTCATAGCAAGGTATTTGAAAGGGGAATAGGATTTGGGGTTTAAGTTCTTTGTAGGGAATTTTGTTTATATCAGAGAGGTAGGAAGATGAGTTTTCAATTACTTTTGCAAAAATGCTTAATTTCTAGTCTGTCTATCTTGTGGTTTTGCCCACAAGTTTTTGGTTCTGGTTTTCTGAATTAAACTTTGGTGAAAGGGGAGAAAAACATTTTCCAACACTTTTGAAAGAACTGTCTTCCAAAACAACTCTACCATACATAGCCTTATTCTCAAGTACAATCTATAGTATTTTGGGAAGTAGAGGTGTACCAAGGAGTTGTAGAGCATGTGGATAAATGCTGCCTTGTCTGATTTTGTGCACCAGACGTTACTTTGTAATTCTAACAATTCGTTACAGTGTAATTCTAACATTTTTTCTGTATGACTTTTTTAGGCATAAGGGAAGTTATTTTTATGTCTGACAAGTATCATGACACTACAGAAATGACAGCTGCACGGCGGATGTTTGATTTAGCAGGTATTATATACAGGTAAGAGAAATGTGGATTAGCTTTATTTTTATTTTGGAAAGGAAGAAAATGGTGTATGAAAGAAACCAACTTCAGGGCAAAAGTTTTTCTTCTTTGCATTGTGCAGCGTTTTATTCTTTGGTAATGTCTGTAGATAGCTTGCTGTGTACGCCTGCGAAAGGTACGGGATTGACAGCCTGTTGCACCATTCTTTTTGCCTTGTGTGTGGTTAATTTTCAGTTTCATAACGTTATATGAGAAAACAGTCCATTTGGAATACTCATATCATTCCTTGACTGCAAGTGAAATTGCGAATGTGATGGTTGTTGGTTACATTGTACTCAGGAGAGTCATCGCTGACCCTGCTTTGAGAAGGTTAGACTAGGTGATCTTCTGAAGTTCCTTACAACCTCAAGTATCCTATGGTCATATGAGTTGGACTGAAACGACCAGTTCATTTTTTTGGTGGATTACCTGATCCTTATTGAAACTTCAGTATCTTTTTGTTCCAGTCAGTTTGGGAAGGTGTCAAACCAGCCACCCATAATTAATTCTTGGTGCCTATAGCTGTCCAGTCTTCTTTGGTCAGCTTTTCATGTGAGAAAAGGATAAAACTTGGAATATATGCCTTAAAGTAATGAGAATCTGGAAAATGTTTGAAGACTGGGGTTTTTAAAGACACTGACAGAGATACCTAAAGACAATCTGTTCAACAGCTAGTTTGATAGCAATAACATGCTGTGGGTGAGGCTAATTATGCAGTCAGGGAGGCTTTGCAACTCTAAAAAGTTTTACAATATTAATATAAAGACTTCGAAAAATTTGCAAACATAACAATTCTGACAGATAAAATTTTAGGATGAAAGGTACCTACTGGGCTAAGAAACATCCGTGAAAAAACACAGCAGTACTTGAAATTCAGTTTTAGTCCTTCAGTGTATTTCCTGTCTACTAAGACTATTTGACTAAGAAGCATAAATCATTCTCTTGCAAGTCAAATCTTGTAACTTCTCCAGGGTGAGAAGTGTTTCTTGCATTTCAAATTTTTATTCTGGATGAAGTATTCAGAGTTTCTGTGGTCAGCAGCATGTGCTTTTCCGTGTTGACTGTTATTCATTCTTGTATTGATTGTTAAGGATGTAGGTGGTACTTAATGAATCTCTTGAACTGAACTGCAGAGCTTAATTAGGCACTAAATCCACACTATTTGCATAATCCTTTGTTTACTGGTAGACTGGAAAATATATGCTCGGTCCCCAAATACCTTCCTTGCTAATTGCTGTAGCAGATGCTCTAATGATAATAAAAGGAAACATTTTGTGGCAGTATTAATTTTACAGTTCTAAAGTTACAATTTTTAAATGATTCCCTCTTAACTAGTTTGTTTTTTTTCCCCAGTATGATGCATAATGTGATCTATTCCCCTAGCACAAAAAATATTTTAATATACTGAGGCAAAGTTTGAAAGTGATCTTTGAAAACTTGGCAGGAAAAAAGTGATCAAAATATTTACCAAAATATATTCCAAATATCTTTTTTATATATATATGTATACATATATGTGTGTATATAATACACAAGCAGTATATTAAAATATTTTTATGGATACACATATGTGGACCTATATCTGTAAATATATATATAAGATATTTGAAATATAAATATATATGAACAAAAATCCCAGCCCTGGTAACATGATGCCACCACCTGCAGCTAACTTGTTAAAAGTCCTTTGACTCCTGGGTAATTTATGAACTCCAATAGCTGAAGAACGTACAGGCTAACCCACTCCATGTGTCTTTTTTGTCTTAGTCTTTCTTGTCCAGGTTTCTCTCAGTGTGGTGCACTATAATTGGCTCCCATAGAGATGAAAACTATGTGAATCCAAGGAGGGTTTTTTTTTTTTTATTCCTTCAAAAATTTAGCTGGAGCTAAAGCAAGCAAAATGTTTTAACTACTCACTAACTAATATCTGTATTTTTCTTTATTTTAGGGAATTCAAGCCAAAGTGTAACAAGATCATCATCGACTTTGATTCAATTAACAGCAGACCAAGTCAAAAGCTTCTGTGAATTAAGTCTCATTAAGTCGCTCGAAGAGTGTGATTATCCTTTTCTAAAAAGCTGCTAATGCCTTTCATCTTCAAGTTACTTGCAACTTTTTAATGGCTTCTGTAGCTAAAGTAGACTTCTAAGAAATCCAAGGCATAAAATGTCCCCCTCACTTCATCTTGTCGTGTGGAATCTAAATCTACTTAAAATTTTTTAATGCCTTTATCAAAACTGCTTAAAAAGTCTAGAGACATGTAGATGAGACAATATAATGTATGTAAAGAAAACTGTTCTGCTTCTTGCTGTATTCATCACCACATGCTCTGATAGGCTGTCAGCACCGGTTTAGACTCAGCTGAGCAGCGGTACTTATTGTAACCAGGAGTACATTGGAATACGCTAATACGTGTTGATCTCTCTATTGGATATGTGGATCTAAATCGCTGATCCTTATAAAGGGCAAAAAATGTTATCCATGCAAATACTAATCTTCCAACTAGCACAACACTAATATTTAAAAGGTTACACACCTTTAAGAATGTGTGACATTCTGCACGTGTTATCCAACAAATGAAATACTGATTTTTCTTTAAATTGTTATCTAACATTGTCATACATGGGAGGGGTGAGAGAGGAAGTTGTTCTGAGAATTACGAGTGCCTTCAAGTCCTTGTTTTCCCCAAGGCTCCAGAATTGGAGGGTGCTGAGGGAGTAAATCATTTGGCTCTTTTCCTTTCGGACTCTTACTTGGAGTGGGTTTTCATGTGTACAAGGAAATTATTTTATTGGGGTAAGCTGTTTCTAGACAATCCAACATAGCTCAGTCTTAAAATCAACCTGTAAGGTAACTGAGTCATTTTTTGTCCTTGGAGAGAAATTGGAGATAGTCAACCCATATCCGTATCTGTGCCAAAAGAGGTAATTATGGTGTTAGCTTGTTTCCCAGTGCTGGCGTAGTACCTTCATTTTCATAAATGTTGCCTAAAATAATATCCTTTTTAATTTTATCTTGAGATCTGGGAATAGATTTGAGTTCCTTTTCTCTAATTTGATTTTTTTAAATTAAATATGCCTAATGGCTTTGTTTAGATAACATTGGTGGGTTTTTTGGTTTTGTTTTTTTTTTTTGGTTTTGTTTTTTTTTTTTTTTTTAAATGTGGTTATACTTCAATGAGCTTTTATTTTCTCTATAAAAGCTTTGTTTCATATTTTGGGACATTATGTAATTTGGCTTCATACCAGTATTATTAAAGTCTTATTAAAATCCACTACATTGAAGTAGACTCGTAATTATAATATTAAGCCATGTGCTTGGCTCCAGAGTGCTGCTGTTTTTGCAATCATATGCAAAGCATATTTTGTGCGTTTGTGATATTACATAAAGTGTAATGTTCATGAACCATTTGGCTACTAAAGGGAGCACTGTAATGTATTACAAGATGTGTCCATTTATAAAGTAATTTCTGACTTTCTTTTTCCTACAACTGTTTTCCACCTCAAAATTGGTCTGTGGCTTACTGCCAGAAGAAGGAATTTGCACATAGCGGGAGGGGGAGGGTGAAACCTGAAAAATTGCTTTAATAAAATGTCACTAAAACAGTTTATGCACATCTTTTTCTTTGGCCTGAATTAAGTAGAAGCATTTTGAGTTATACTGGTCTGACAATGGGACAGAGGGGAGAGAAGAAGCAGAATTTTTGGTTTTGGCAGCAAAATTGCTGTTTTCTTCATAGATAATTGCTGATCTAAGTTCAGACTTAAAAGATATATGCATTGTAATGCTGGTTACTTTAAGTATTCTTCTGTCAGGCTGTGGATAATGGGAATGTATAATATGCATAAAACTCGGGAGTTTTTTGAATCAATGTCCAGATGTTTTTAGGAATGTGCCATGTTTTATAATGACTTTTTTTTCCCCCCAGGACTTTCCTGTTTGTGTAACAAAAGAGAAGTACTGGAGAATATGAAAGGATTTTAGATTTCTTCCGAACAGTTTTTGATCTGCTAGAGTCACATATCCAAGCTTTCAGAGCAATGGTCCATCGACTCAGGCTAGTAAGTGGGCTCACTGATTTCCAGGGCAACCTCATGCAAAGGGAAAAAGCACACGCACAACTCTTGAGACAGTGCATGCTTAGTTTGGGGTTAATGTTTTAGAGCAAATCTTAAAGAAGGTTTGACCCTTACTTTGTGTGTATGCCTAGAAATCTGTATGCTTCTGGCTTTTTTTTTTGTTTTAATAGCTCAGGAGATAGTGCTTTGACTTCCAAATTAAGAATAATTACTAGAGGAAACAAAGAAAACAGGTAGACATAGTAAACTGTGTTTCTGCTCCTGAAGCTCAAGTTCAAGATGAATACAACCATTTGGGCTGGAAGGACCTCTCAAGGGCATTTAGTCTCACCCCTTGCTGAAAGCACTGTTGACTTACAAGTCAGATCCAGTTGCTCACCTTGTCCAGCTGAGTATCTCCAAGAACTGGAGATACTACAGCCTTTCTGGTCATCCATCCCAATACTCGACCTTCCCTGACACCTTCACTGTGTCCTTTTCTTTTTTCTTCAGTCAGAATTCCCATTGCTACAGCTGACGCCTGTTGCCTCTCGTCCTTTTGTTGTATGTGTCTGAAAAGAGTCTGTCTCCTCTACTACCACCCATAAGGTAGCTGAAGTCAGCGGTTAAGTTTGCCCCACCTTTAACCTTCTCTTCTCCAGGCTGAACAAACGCCATGCACTCAACCTTCCTCATGCATCATGTGCTCCATCCTCTCAGCCCCTTAGTGTCTCCTCACTGTCTGTTTCATAGTAGGGAGCCCTATGATGACGCTAGTCCAGATGTGGTCTTAGATAAGCTGAATAGAGGAGCATGAACAATCACTTCCATTTACCTGCTGGCTACACGCTCTCTACTAAAGCCTGGTATGTGGACAGCGTTCTCTGTTGCAAGGGCACTTCATCTCTGGTCCACCTGAATTCCTGGGTCCATTTCTTCCAAGGTGCCTTCCATCCAGTAGGCACCCAGCCAGCGTGGTGGTGTTCTCTTCCTGGTGCAGGACTTCATCGTGTTTCCATCAACCCGTTCCTCCAGCCATTAATACAGCTGGACTTTGAACCACCAACTCTTTGAGCCTGCTGGCTCACCAACATGAAACTTCACGGGTCCTGTTGTGACCACCAGCACCGCTCCCATGGTAAATCACCCCTCTGGCCTGCCGGGGGAAGGGGAGGTGACTGTGGGCTGAGGCTTCATTAGGGATTGCTTGAAAAACCCCAGTAGAGGAAGCTGAAAGGAGACTCTGGGGAAGTACTTGGGTAGTTACTTCAGGACCATTAACTGGAGGAAGAAATCACATTCAAATAAAATGCTGACATCCCATCCAGTTCAATATAACTACCTTAAAGGTTAAATCTAAATCCTGCCATCATCTAGATTTTCCTTCTAAATATTATTCCATTCCCTTGTCAGAGAACCCAAGAAACCGGCAATCTTATTTACATAAATTTCATTTAAGAAAGGGTGGTTTCACAGGCTGGCATACTGAATGGGAGCATAATCTCCATCTTTGAAGCTCTGATCACCAACTGAGCATTTTATTGCTTTGTCTATTAGGAATATTTTCACAAAAGTAACAAAAAGTATGCTACGACCGGTACAATTGCTCTGATTTCCAAAATAGCCTATGATACCATTGGCAATAAGAGCTCTTGCGGTGCATCGCTCAGCCTGAAAGCTCTAGGTACATAACTGCAGAAGCTGCAGTCATTCATCAGCTACCAAAATGAATCTTGCAGGAACTAAGCTGTTGAGAACAAGCAAAATAAACAACAACAAAAAAAATCTGACTTGCTGCGCTTGGCTTTTTCTCTCTGAAGCTGGGTGATGAGAATCTTTATGGGAGTGAGGTGGGAGATAGCACAGAAGTCCTCACCTGATCGCCCTGAAGCAGCAATTAGAGGGGGCTCAGTCTCAGCCGGGGGCCTGGGTGATGTTTATGAGGTGCTGGGGGGGCTGTGGGGAGCCAGGGGTGGTGGTGGTGGTGGTGTCAAGTGGCGTGGGACTCATGAAGGAGTAGTGAGCTGTACTCTGTGATTATCCAACAGGTACGGCTTGGGTTTCTGCTCCACCGGGAGCGCTTAAGGATGAAGCACAGAACTGACCACAGCTGAAAGGCCGTTTATTTGCAGGTGTTTCTTCTCAGTTGTAGGTAAGAAAAGGATTTATATAATACAGGGCTGAAAGTGTGAGGTACCAACTCTTTCTCTCTTTAGTGGTAAGGGCTCAAAGGGTTTGCACCATTAAAGCCTCTTTTTAGCAGATTTCGCTCTCCCTTCCCTTTAAAATCCAGGTTTATCTCATGTAAAACGCTCTCTGATTTGAGAACAGAGGGGTAAAATTTGTTTCAAGTGCTTAGTCTGTATCTGCTCCGTGTTCTCAGCCTTGGGAACTACTGAAAGGCACACGGTGGAAAAGCATTAAATGCAGCTGACTGTCTAAGAAACCCTATACGAAACCTTTAAATCCACATTCCCTTCCTTTTACACTTAACTTACCTGTTTACCTTCTCGGGCTTGAAGGAAATGAGGAGAAAAAAGGAGAAGAAAAGGATTTATGAACTGTCTCTGCCTCATTCAAAAAACCCAACATCTTCCTGGCAGTTAAATGGCAGCGAAAGCTTTAATGAAGCATGTGGTTAATCAAGCTATGGAAGAGTGCAGCATTTGATTTTTATTTTTTTTTCTTTTGCTGGAGTAAGAGCTTAATCACAGCAGCTCGCTTCCTAACGCTGCTCATCGTCAGCAGCAGCGGATTTAACATCGTCCGAATGCTTCAAAGGCGCTGATGCAGCTGTGCTTTGAACCCCTTCCCCGCTGCGGAGGTGTCCCAGGAGGAAGGTGCCTTGGGCAGCTCCGTCCCTGCGAGGCACCACCAGATGATGGTGGCAGGAGGAGGGCTGCTGCCTGTCGCTGCGAATAACGAGCGAGAAGGGGCACCATCCTTCTGCGAACTGTGCGGCACGAGGGCCAGGCTTGAAACGGAGATACACGTGACAGCGTACATGAATTACAGTCATTTGGTTTGTCTCTCTACCTGATTTTTTATTTTTTTTTTAGGAGAAATTAAGGAGAAATTTCTTTTAGAGGTTGGAATGGGAAGCTGCTACTTCTGTCTTCTATGCTTCAAAGTTTGTGCTGGAAAATCTGGCCTCTGTCAGGGCACTTCTCTCATCCAAATATGAGGAAGAAAAATAAAAATAATCAAGCTTGATGTGCTGGATTTTTAGTTGTTGACATTATTTACTGTGCTCTTAACAAACAATGCCCTAAGGAGAATGAGAATAAATGTGCTCCAGCAGCAAAATATGCATAATAAAGAAGCAATTGCCTACGGTTTCCTGGGATTTCTTACTCCGCACTCTCTCCCTCCCTATTCCTCCATTGTTTCAAGCTAATGTGTATTTCAGTTCTGCCATGCAAATATTCAGAAGGGCTCCCTGCACCAAAGGAGAGGAAACGAAATATATTCAAATCAGTGGCACAAGTTGTGTCTTGGTTTGCCCGAGACGTGGGTACATCCTTTCGTTGGCTGTATAACGCTGCTGTTGCTGCTTGTTGACTCGTGCTG